TGGCATGTAGCCGATTAATAGAGATAGTTTGATCATATATAAAAGTGAAGCATTAATTATGGTACTATTTCTTTGAGAAGTCTTGAGGTGGGGTGTAAAAGACACTTTGATGGTTTGGAGGAAGTAATTACTGAAATTAACTCAAAAAGATCAATGAGCACACACAGTTGATTTTCATTTATTATGCTTTTTCGTTTAGCAGCAGGACAAAAAATTACTTTGACAAGAAACCCTTCTTCATATAACGTAGTCTTCAGTTCAGCTATTCTCTTTAGAATATAACACACTTTAAAATAAATATCATAAAATACTATTTTATTATTATTATTTTTACAATTCTCCTGAGATTGAAATCAAGTTTAGAAACAAACTAAAGAAAGGAAGGTTTCAACTTGTTCTCAGGACTCAGGACCAGAGATGCAGAGGTAAATAAGAAATGTATTGTATTTACTTATTTATTTTTGTTGTGGGTGGTGGGGGTTCTTTCATAGGACGTTAGAGCTGTGTGTCCTAGCAGATTAGGTTTTGTACACACAAATATTTAAATGCAAATCTTTAAAAAAAAATGTATGGAACCACTGAGAACCCAGATTTCGAAAGTTTTTGTGACTGACAGAGAAAAAAAATGCTGTAATAATGAAGTAAAATGCAACAAGGTACAATGGCTAAATTTAGTAAGTAAGGAAAAAATGAAAGCATCAGACATGATATAGAAACTGTACCCTTGCTTACATTAATTCATGAAACAGAAATTTCATATTTTAGCTACATTATATCCTTTTCTGTGGGTTTTCTTCAAGACATTATCTCGTTGCATTCTGTTTTTTCTTTTCTTTTTTTTTCTGTTTTTTTTTTTACAAGGATCTCTTATTAGGAATAGGAAACACCAGCCATGCTATCACTCCACTTCATATAATCATATAAACGTTTTAGATATAAAAATCTGGGCTTTTCTGTAGAATATGTTGTTAAAATTGGGGAATAATTTTGATATAAACCAGGTTAGCTTTCAGTTTTCAGCTTTGATTCAGTGGGATCCACATTCAGCTGACATGAACAGCAACAGAATTACAGTCATTTTTAACTACATTTTTTCTTCATCCGTTTTATCAATATTAATAACACTGTAATCACCCATTTATTTGCTTAAATCTGTAGAGTTGGTGAAATAAAGTATTTTATTAATACGGAAAATGTCCGAAATACTTCCTTACTGCACAGGAAAACTGGGTGCACACATCTACAGATGGTATAGTAGGAAGTTATCTTAAAATAACAATTTCACGACTAAAACTCCCAAGAAACTTTTGAGAAGATTCTTTCATTTGTGTCTCTATCAGAGGAATCAGCTGCTCTCTAAGGGAAGGTAGCACTTTGTGAAAGTTTACATACCTTTAAGGGTAGAATTTACAGCTTTAAAGTTGGTTAATTGGTTGATTGCAATGCCCATTTTTAAAAGATGTTCGTTGGTCTGTTTTTTCATTGCAGAATTGGACCCCAGAATGCTCTTTGATAGACCCTCTGTTTTTAAGGCATGTTCAATTGAGGAAAAAATACCTCTAGGATAGGTATTTATGAGTGACCCTTATAAGTTGCTGTGGGTGGGTAAACTAAACTCTGGAAATAATTACAAACTATGTCCCTCTATTGTTCTTGCTGTTTTGGCCTCCTAGAGCCTTTCACAAAGAGTGTTCTTAATAATTTATATTGTTTTGGTGCACCTCATCTCACAATGAAAAGAACCTGCAAGTCGATCCTAGAAGTACGTTCCTGGAAACAGGCTGGTTGAAGCATGAATATCCAGCGTGAATTTGAAACAGCAGCTTTTTGGGAGGGCTAACTATCTTGCAAAATCAAACACTGCTTCAGCCAATATTAAATATGCAGAAAATCTTAAGGAAGATTTTGTTCCTTGGAACATTCCCAGAGTTCAGGTACTAAGGCGGTGAGCAAAACGATGTTATTACTGATATAAACACCCACCAAATCTATAAAAATGTAATTAAAGTCACAAATTTAAGCAACTACAAACTCTGAAACCTGCTGGAGTACAGAGAAGAACAGTTTTGGACAATCCCCTTTTGTCATGAAATCAGTGTCACATTTGGATCACATGATTATGAGCGAGAAAACAGCATTCACGGTGACAAATGTCTGATATGCTATGAATAAAGGGAGTGAAAAATAAGCTAATAAGTTAACCTTTACAGATTTGGACACTGAAATAGTCTCTAAATTCTTTCTTTCTTAAACTATGAATTTTGATTGTTACGTTTTATTTTTTGGTGGATGTGTTTTTAATGAAACACTAGTCAAATGTGTTTGGACGAACAATGTGAATTTATGGAAGAAACATGTTTAAATACGATGCCTTACTGTATTATTTTGTTTGCAATTGGTCTGCCCCCCCCCCCCCCCCCAAAAAAAACCCCCAACAAAAACCAACAAAAACAAAAACAAAAGCTACTGGTTTCATCAAAAGCGGTGCCTGAAACAATTAGGCAACGCAATTTTTTTAGGCAATGCAGGAGTAAAAAGTGCACCTGTTTGAGACTATTTCCTGTGGTGGAAATACACCAAACACATACTTGGTTCCTTGGTATTTATACTTTGAGGGAATTAGCTGATATTAAGAAAAATATAGATGTAACTAGATTTACTTTTTACTATTAAATCTTATTGAACATGAGTCTGCACTGTTTCACTGCTGTCACTTGTCTAGTCTAGTAATCTCACATCCTGAGTTCTGGCTGAAAAATAATACTGATGACTAATGATGGAATAATTATCCATCATTATAACAAAACAAGTGACTAGTAATTCGAGGATATGAAAGTTAAGTTTCCCCTCAGAGTAACCTCAGACCAGCAAGCTAAGAGAGACATGGAGCATGTCAGGACCAGGTATCAAGGGGCCACTATGGGGCTTTAAAGGGGTTAGGAGTCCCCCACACACACTTTCTTTCTTTCTTTCTTCCTTGACGTTCAAGTTCATAGTCATGGTTTGTGTTGGAGTGTTCAAGGAGAGAGTTTTCCTTTTTTGTTTTTCCTGGATCACAAATGAAAACGCAAATAACATTTTTGTGACTGGATGTTTAAAAAATGACTCTGTCAGGTATGCTAAGTGTAAAAGGGGTATTTAGGGAAATTTAATCATGTGTGACAAAATCCTATTTAAATTCAAAGATTTTGTGCAAAAATGTACTTCCTGTCTGTTGTTGTGGTCGTAGACACAACAACAGGTCATAGAAGGGATTGTTTACTGATCAGTAGGTAAGTGGCTCAATCCTTGGCTCCTCCAGTAATTTAATCAAAGTATCCTTGACCAAGAAACTGAACTCCTCATGTTGCTCCTGATGCATCCATTGGAGTGTGACTGTGTGTAAATGTTAAACAAAGTGCTGCATGAATGTGTGTGTAATTTGGTGAATGAGACTTGTAGCAGAAAGCATTTTGAGTGCTCAACCAGCTCAGGCGCACTCTCACTACTGGTAATGCGCTATTTCCTTGAGTTAAGTGAGCAAGACAGAATAAACATTTTCCGCTCTTCCATCACACGGGCACAGATTTTGTACCAGGAAGCTGTCAGGTTAAAGACAATTTAAATAGATCTGCATACACAAATTCAGCTCTTTTACATTTTACACGTACTAACAACATGCATCAGTGTGTTGTTTCACCTGGCATTACTGCCTACTTCTCTTCAGTTAACCAAAGTTCAACCCAGTACATAAGTAAACAACATGATTGGCTATCATGTGTGCCAATCAAAAGAATTCTGTTGTTAAAGATTTAATGGGACACTAACAAATGTTATAATTAAAAGTTGTTGGGTTTTTTCCATGGCTATCCCTCCTCAGACTGCAAAAACAATTATAGATAATATTGATTATTTTGTGAATATGTCACAGTGATGCCATCAGAAGGAGGGATAATCTCATTTTAGACTTTTGCCTTATTATTTATTTATTTAGTCATTGATTTATTTTGCCTCTTTGTTGGGATATTTAACGAAGAATTTGCGAGCAGAAGTGAGTCCAGATTCAGGAATAGTTGGAATGATTTTTGGATGGACAGCATTGTGCGTTGCAACATATCTTCACAAATACACATCAAATTGAAATAAGAAAAACTGAGAGAAATCATCTTGATGTAATCTAAAAATGATTAGAAACTTATGCAGATCCAGGAAATCCTCTGGATAACATAACTCAGTTTAGGCATGTTGTGGGTGGAGGTATGCAGACGCATTGATCTTTTAAGTCACTGGGTTTTGTGAAAAAGTTGTGCTATTTAGCAATTTTACGCAAAATGAAACTGCTCTTAATCACATGACACTAGGCCAACTGTTACAGGGGAATCTGTAGCCATTATATGCCAGGATATGATTGTAATAGAAAAATACTACATAAATTAAATTTGAATGTGATCCAGTTGTTGTTGTTTTTAGCCTTCAGTTAAAGATGGCAAAGTCTTCTTGTTAAATTTGTTAGAACACCTGTAACTTTGAATAAAATCATGTCTGAAATGCCTGGCTTTAGTTTTACAACTTTATCATCTGTTGTTATGATTTCTCTGGTGGGGGTGGGGGAGGGGGATTTTGGAAGACATCTATGATGATTTCTACAAATCATAAGTAACTCCTCCCCATATCACATCATTAAATCATGTAGAATTACAAGAAACAACACACAGGACATGATGTCAGTTAAAAACTTTGATCATAGTCAGAAACACATAAAGAACATAGTCATAGTCACAGTTTTAAGGATTCAGGGAGCTTCATTGCTGCTTGTGAGAGAAATCATATGATTGAGTTATATATTTTTTTAAATAATAATTTAAGGTTACAAAAGAACCCTCAAATTATTTAACTTCTTCAGTAAATGAGCCAATTAGTTAATATTGGTAAGGAAATTATTTAAAGACATTTACTCTTAAGCATCTGTAATTTGAGAACAGAAGGAGCAAAAACCATGATAAAAATGTATTTTAGTTACTTTCCAGTCTCACTTACTGATAAACTGGTGCATTAATTTGGATGAAAAAAGTGCACAAATTCTAAACACATGCATATGGCTGATTTATGAAAAACCTTCCCCTTACCACCTACAGGGCTTCTTAAGTCTAAGGACCAAAGTGTAGCTTATTTTACATGTAGCTTGGCTGAAATGTAATTGTTGACTATGCATTTTGGTGTGCTGGGGCTTCAGAGTCAGTGTTCAGGTTTTTACATCTGTGGGGGAGACTGTGCGCCGGCTGGGTCATGTAGCTTTCTGACGTGTTTCTTCAGGTCAAAGTTCCTGCAGAAGCCCTTGCCACAGGTTGGGCAGGTGAAGGGTTTCTTATCGTTGTGGGTGTGCATGTGGAAGGTGAGGTTGTACACCTGATGAAATGCCTTGCTGCAGATGGAGCACTTGAACTGCTTCTCGCCACTGTGTGTCAGCTTGTGGTTTTTGTAGTTTCCTGTGTTGAGGCAAAAGGGTGAAACTTAACAAGACATCAAGACATGGAATCTCCTTACAATTCCAAAGAATTTCCAAGAGTATATTTGCTCAGTGGTATCAGCATCACATAATCTGACTGTGAGGAAGTGAAATGGGACCAAAACAAAAAAAAACAAAACACAAAAAACAAGCAATTATACTTTACAGTACAAAAGTTATTAAATTGGTAATTGATGGTTAAAATGGTTTTACTTTTTAAACTAATTAACATTACATTTAGGTTAAAATGAAATAATAATTAATAATGTTCATATATTGATTCATAATTTGTTTTTAATGATCCTCTACAGAAATTGGATCGATGGTTATGGTAAAAATTGCAACTTATTACATAAACTAATTGCATAAGTAAAAATAAATTATAACATACTGATGTAAATCAGTCACTCGTACACATATTTTAAGAATTTGTGCACTTTGTTCAATTATTAGTAAATATTATTATTGATGTTATTATTAGTATTTCAATTTTTATCACCGGCAGAAGGGAATAACTACTAACATTTTATCAATTATCAGGATACCTTTTATCAGTGATGAATACATTACTGTATGAGTCCATAGCATGTGGGGAAAAAGCCCAGCAAATATTTTTCCTTATAATATTTATTTTTAATTTATTTATTTATGTTGCTTATTTTGTTTTGTTTTGTTGTTCTGAGAATTAGAAATCATGCCACATATATGTGTTTTTCGTTTGTGAAAAATACAGTTTTACTCACATTAACAACTAAAATAAGGATCACATGTTCACATTTGAGAAGCAAAATCCATCCAATATTTGGCATTATTGCTGAAACCCTACTGAATTCTGTGATATTTAAAATAACCAAAAAAGAAACATATGTTTTCCTCCTGTTAATATGAACCAGAGGAGTGTTTTCAGAGCAATTCATCACCACAATCACCGGCATTACCTTAATATTAAATAAAACCTGAAATAAAGTACAAGTATTACCGCATTTCTAACAACATAAAAAAAGGAAAATGTACACTTAAAAAATGACTTTTTGCTCTCAGTGAACACAAAGCAACACTGAAAATAATAAAATACTGAACTGTAAAAAAAAAAATCAAAGGTTTCTTTATTTAAAGAATTAATCACTGGCTGGTATAAACTAAATGTATACAAATTAAGTAAATTTTATTTGACCATATTCCATTTAACATTTTACACAGTACCTATGTAACAACATTTTATTTAAATGAAAATCTAATTTACATGTACTCAAATTACTTAAAGCATTTAGTCGTAAAAGTTTTCTGTGTGTTTCATGAGGCGATGTATTGGATGTATTAGAGCTGATGTATTAGTAGATGTAAAGCAGTAGCAATACAGCAGTTTGAAGGGAATACATCAGTACAGCACAGTAAAACTGTAAGCATGTAGACAAATATAATGTCACAACTAAGAATGTGCGTTTCTATAGAAGATTTTTCACCACTTCATAACAGCTCAGGATGAATCCAGGGAGCGATTCCTCTTCAGATTTAACTGTTTGTTTTAGCCGTCATAGCAGACTAACCTTTTCTAAAATTACAAGTCCGGCTAATTTCAAGAAAGTAAACTTTGGTAATTGTTATGAATACATAAATACAACACAATCATCAACTACCACTCTAATGGGCTTTGGGCGACTGCTATGTGTCTGGCAGAGATGCCCCACATGGTTTGAAGGTTTGAAATAGCACCAAATATTTGGCCTTACAACATGTAACAGCTCTGCTACAGGCAGTTACAATGAAACATTTATGTTTCCATAACATATTTTAACAAAACAAACAAACAAAAAAGAAGAAAACAAAATAGTGCTGCTGGACAAGCATCTGTATTATTTTTGTGTCTGTTAAACTCGCATGTCTTGAATATGCTGAATTATGTTCGATTTACATTAATATATAATAATTATATATAATAAACAGTGTGGAGTCTGTAGCGAACTGTCTTCACGGGAACTTTAAACGGATTTAGCCTCAGACCCGCTGTATTTGTCCATCGCACCCACTTCTGTTACATATCATCACCTTTTGTTTTTGTTGTTTTTTCCCTCTTTATGCCAATGAATTTATCGTGTTTTCGCTCTGTGTTGTTTGACCTGTAAGTTCAGTCCAGCTGTATAGTGAGGATGTGGCTCTTCTCTCGGGATCTTTTGCTTTTTAGGATTTAACACCGCTCTAAAATGTAACGGATTCTTGGAATAAAATTTCTAATCAAGATGTTTTGGTTGATATATTAAATCTAATCCTTGAAAAAGGAGAAAAAACAAATAAGAAAATACTGATCCATTTTCTTTTTTTTTTACCGTCTCACCTTTTTGGTGAAATCCCTTCCCACAGAACTCGCACACGAATGGTTTGTATCCTGCATGGATGCGTGTGTGCGTGTTGAGGGTTGAACTCCTGTTAAAGGCTTTTCCGCACTGGTTACACTTGTGAGGCTTTTCCTGTAAAAAAAATTACAGGGGGGAAATAAGTAACTCAGTGGAAAATGTGCCATAAATAAAAAATAGCACCAAAAAATACAAAATAATCTTGCAGAGATGCACAAGGACCTTATACTTTCACAGATAATGTATATAATGTGTAGAATCAAATTCATTAATATAACAGCGCATAAAGATGAATACTTTTTATGCTTAATTTATATTTTAAGCGAAACAAACATAATTAGCGCGTAATTAATTTCCTCTGTGAAAGTGACACCTCACAGGGGTAAATAAAACAGAAATCGATTTTTGAGTCTAAACCTGCAATCCGAACGCCACGCTGAAGCCACGCCCACCAAACGCATATTAAATCATATCAATCATCATGACTGAAAACAATCGAACTGGTAGTTACTTAAATAAATTAATGATCGTACTTCAGTGTGATTAAATGTCTGCGTACGATTCAGAGGTGAAACATATTAAAGAAAAATAAATCAATAAACAGAATAATAAAGAGTGACCGACTTTATCGCGACCTTTGGTTGACATTTAAACGGTAAATAAAACAGAGAATATAACATTTTAAAACTTACAGAGATCAGCGAAATGATAATCAAACATAACATTTAAAACCATCATTAAAAAACAAAACAAAAAACGTTAAAAAAAAAAACCCCGAGATGAATGACTGAACTCATCCTACCTGAGTGTGGATGATTTTGTGCCGGCACAGCGTGCTGGCCTGTCGGAATCCCTTCCCGCAAACTTTGCACACGAATGGTCGAGCGCCTGTGTGTACGGGCATGTGGCGGGTCAGGTTGTAGTGCGCGTTAAAGACCTGAACAGGAGGGGGGGGGAACCCGAGACAAAACAAATAAATAAACAAAAAGCAACACCTTGTCAACAAGAAAAATATAATCATTATTATTTTAATAATAATAATAAAATAATAAAATGTCAGCCGACTACATTGCTCAGTTAAAGGTTAATTATGTGGAAAAAAAGAAGAAGAATGGGTGCCTGTAATTATTAGATTAAGTCTAATTATGTGTAATCTGTTGGGGGGTAATTTATTGGACTTGGAATACACGGAATGGGTTCATTGTAACACAATAACAAATCTCTAAAGATGCGCAGCATGAGCCAAAATTTAAATTCCTAAACAACCCACCAAGTAGGCATTACGGTAATTTGGTCCTTTTAAAATGAGTTTTAGAGAAATTATAAATGTTAAATTCGATAAATTCCATCTGTTATTTCAAATAACCACAGCAAACCTCCGTTTTTTCCTTTATTTATGTACTCTGCGCTTCCATTCCGGGACTCCGTTTATTAATTTTGCGAACTAAATGCCGGGTCTGCACACTCTAAAAATTCTATTCGACATATGTATGCATTTTTATTTTAATGCATACATATGTCGAATACTTTTTTAGTCAGAGTTATTTTTTTTAAGGTTGTTTAGATCGTATAGAGTGACCGAGTGTATCGGACACTATATTATTTATCTAACCCTAAACACATCCATTAAACAAAACTTAACCTTATGTAAAAGGATCGAGTATTTTTAAGTTAAACACTAATAACTAATCAAATCCAACATTTAACTTACACTAGATTACTTGTTTAAAATATCTTCAAAACCTCCGAATTTTTTCATAAAAAAAAAAAAAGAGGGTGAGAGATAACTAACATCAATTCTGAAAATAAATCCATTTTCAGTTTCCTTCTGTGGATAAAGAGTAAATAAATTCAATAATCCGCGCTGACGCTCACCTTACCGCAGACCTCACAGGTAAAAACTTTGGGCTTGCTACCGGGACAGGAGCCGCTGAGCCTGGCGCTTGCCGCTGCAGCTGTCGCGGAGCCCTTGAAAATCTTGTCACTCAGGATCTGGTCCCTCTGCTTTATGTAGTGAATCTGGTTCGGAGATAGATCCTTGAAGGCCTGCACGCCGGAACCCGCGTACCGCTCCGCGGCCTGTTGCATGCCGGTCTTGCTCTTCTCTGCCATGAAAGCTTTATGTCGGGCAGTGAACAGGTACGAGGCCATAGGGTGCAGGTTCACCAGGCCAGCCGGCGGTGGACACGCTCCGGAATCCCCGCTGCAATTCAGGTAGCAAACAGTGCCCATCGTGGGAAAAGAGGACTGGTTTACCACCCTGGGTCTGAAGAGTTTGTACTGCCCGGTGGTTTGGCTGACAGCAGTGTCTTCTTGTTGATTTTTATAGTTTAGCCCAAACCCCAAAAATTCTGCGGGAGCCGGGAGAGAAGACGCGTCTAAGTGGCCCGGATCCAGCCCTGTGATACTGAGCCGGTGTCCCGGCTCATAGCCGAGCGGTACCAGCGGGATCATGCAATGCAGCGAGGACGGATATGCTTCGGGTTTCCCCACTGGAGCGGACTGAAACCAGTTGGGGAGCGGTATTGACTTGGGCTCGGGTGTCCTGGCCATAATCCGGTCGATGGAGAAAGCGAGAGGCTTGCTGCTGCCGCCGGAGGTGAGCATTTCTGAGCCCGCAGGTTGGCTCCCTGAAGCCGTGGGGGAGCCAAGGATCCCTGCTGGGCGGCGGAGAGGACCGTCCATCACCTCCGCATCAACCGGGTTGCGACAACAACAACTAAAGCTGCTGGAAAGAAGATGAGATCGGCGCTGCTCCTCACCGGCACGCAGAAAAGGACATCATCCGCCAGGGATCCCCCAACCCCACCCCCACCAAAACACAGGCCCTGCTTTCCTGGTTGTTGACAACAATCAGGGCGCCCGAGGCTCGTTCGATATCGATGGGGCAAGAGCCGAGACCTTGCCGATCGTTACCGTCCAAGAAGGAGAGTGGAAAAGTAGATAATTTGCTCAATTCTCCTCTGTCGATTCTCTGCGTTTGTCGCCGCTGGAAGAGGAGGAGGAAAGTGTTCTTTACTTGGCAGGACTCCTGCTCAACTGAAAGGTACTTGGTGAATCCTAGGTCCCCTTGTGGTTTTACGTGACATCTTTTTTTTTAAAATCGTGATGAGCCAGACGCGCAGCGGCTGCAGGGTCAGGAACTGTCAGTGTTTTAGATCAGATTTGGACACGTCTTTGGCTCTCAAAACCCAGCCCTTTTACGCACGGTTCAAAGAAGACAGGGACATGTCATGTAGTTGAATTCAAAACAGAAAACAGATCGAGATATTGAGCAGAAAATGGATTTGATGTCATTGATGTCAGTCTGGATGGGTTTAGAAATCAACAACTTTAACTCAAAGCGCCCTTTTTTTTCTTTTACGCACCAGATTTTTAAATCTTAAAAAGCGGTTTGGAAAAAAGCGACTACTCGAGACAAAGAGATGGACAGAAATCTGCAGTGAAAATGCTCACTCTCCCCTATCGAGTCTTATCCTTTTTTCCAGTCACACGAATACAAGCAACTCTTTTATCCACAAAGCACAGAGCCGGTGGGCTGAAGCGCAAATTCCACAAGATGAATGAATGAAACCAATGGCGCACGAACCCACAACAATAGCTCCATCCTGTCAGTGATGGAGGCAGAGAGTGAATGGGCAGGTTCGGAGTGGACTGAGCTGAATTTGTCCTTCAAGGGTTTGAACAAAAGATGAAGAGAAATAAAAGTGACCGTCGAGGGCCCAGGGAGCGACAGCAGAAATTAGAGTGAACACAGTCACATCAGAAAAGAAAAGGTTAACAAGGTATTTGTGTTGGTTGACTATTAGTATAGTACACGCATTTCTTTTTCTTCTTCAGTGTCTCTCAGTTGGCTTAATGTAATAATGTTTTGTTTTGAAGTCAAACTGTTTTAAATAATGAGGGAATTAGATGGAAGTTGAATGTTTGTGTGTTCTTGGACGATGGTTTTTAATGAGTCAGGGGTCACAGAGGCTCAACAAATCAAGTATTCGTTTACACGTAATAAAAGTGTGATAAAATAAATTATGCGCCCATTATTAAAGCAAGAGACATTGCAGTGTTAACGTGAGGCCACGTCTCTCCTCACTTATCTACTAAAGCCTTACAGCACCAGTTTTAATCTGTCCAGCCGAGTTTCGTTGCTTTTATGCCATAGAAGTATTAGACAACTTATCATTTTTAATTGAAGTTATAATAATAATAGTAGTAGTAGTACTATAAGCGTATAATGTTGGGTGTGCGTCACCCCCCCCCCCCCCCCCCCCCCCCCCACACACACACACTAAATATTCTAAAAATATTTACACACACACACACACACACACACACACACACACACACACACACACACACACACACACACACACACAGTTATACTTACATTAATTACTAAGATCTTCATATCTGAGCGTCAGGCCACGTCTCTTGTTATATACTGAAAGATCACAGCGGCAGTTTTACTCTATTTAGCCAAGTTTTCCTTTTTGCTTCTTTTTGCTAGAAACACCGCAAGACTTATTAATTATATTATAAGTCACGTTCTGAGAGTTATTATCATTTTTATTCCTATTTTTATTATCGTTTTCATTAAGCAACACGTTAAATCACTTCAAAATATTGTGATGTCTGTCAGCTAATTACATTTACGTCTAAATAATTAGCCATACTATTAATAGCAATATTAATAACAATTATTATAAATTGTTGTTGTTTCATTGATTTTTTTGCCCATAAAGGCTTCTTATGCCAGAGCCTCTAATAAACCACTGTCGTGTTAGCGCCGCATAGACGCTGCTTCTGTGTAAACTGACTTTTCACCACTTCATATTTTGAACTGAACTAATAAACAATACTTTTATAAATAATTATGAGTGTCATCATAAGGAGTAGGTTATTCTGCCAACCTACCCTGGATTTTCGCGGTGTTATTTTTTCCCCCTGTTAATTCAGTTCTTACATTTTGTTCATGAAATATTAATTTCTCTTAACTTTATTTCATACTGCGCAAATAAATGTATTTTTTAAAATAATAACTTTAGAACTTTAGAAGTAGAACTCCAAACCTGTTCTACTTGTTTTATTTTATTCTCCTCAAACAGTTACAGGAGAAAGTATTTGTCTTTACCAATTTCTGAACAGAATGCCAATAAAATGAAAGTCAAAGTCTTGCTGATTTAATGGTACTTCTTTTGATTAATCGGTGACAGATTTATTTTGAAAATATTTTACGATTTTTTTTTAATTTAATACAGTTCAAATGAGAACATAATATAAACAAAACCATGAATTTTGCTAAGAATTATCACGATATTAGTGACCTGGAGAATGTGTGTCCTATCGTCTGCTTGTCTTATTGATTTTTATGTGAGCGATAAATGTTTTGTGAGTTTTTAGTTGTTAGGCATTACTGAGGATTTTATTACAAAAAAGAAATTAATCCTTAGATTTTTAAAAAAAACCCTCTCTGGTCTGTCTGGAAATGACTCAGATCTCCACCATGCTTGTTGCGTTAGTTACCTATTGAATAAAGATGCTACATATCCAACACTGTTTCTCAGATTTTAGATGATTTTCCCTGAAACTGAAAACAAACATTAAATTACACAAACACACACATACCTAACCATAACCTAATTGCAGCCCTGACACTAAAACCACATTTTGAGTCTCAAAAACGCCTTCAAACTTGTGGGGACCGGGATTTTGGTCCCCACGAGGGCTGTTTGTCCCCACAAGTATAGTAAATACCAATTTTTCGTCCCCACGAAGATGTTAATACCCGTCCCCACACACACACACACACACACACACACACACACACACACACACACACACACACACACACACACACACACACACACACACACACACACACAAGTCTAAACACCTTCACATTCGTTTTTTCTTTATTTTTACTACTTTCTACATTGTAGATACAAACCAAAGACATATCAAGATATATGGAATTATGTAGCAAAGAAAATATTGATAAATGACTCTAAATATGTCTGATATGTTAAATTCCTGAAAGTAGCCTCCCCCTGCTTTGTTGACAGCGCTAAAAACCCTTGGCCTTCGCTCAGCAAGCTTCATGATGTAGTCAGCTAAAATGGTTTCATTTCACAGGTGTGACTTGTCAGCGTTTATTTGTGGAATTTCTTGGCTTCTCAGTTGTGTTGTGTAAAAGTCAGGATGGTCCACAGCTGACAGCCCCATTTAACAACTGTTAGAATTTAGCTGAATGGTTCTTCCCATAATATAAGTAAAGAGAAATGAAAATCCAACATTACTTTAAGAACTGAAGATCAGTCAAAATTGCTGCAACTTTGAATGTGTCCCCAAGTGCAGTTGCAAAAACCATCAAGCGCTACAACGAAACTGGCTCATATGAGGACCGCCCCAGGAAAGGAAGGCCAAGAGTCACCTCTGCTGCTGAGGATAAATTCACCAGACTCAGAAATCGCAAGTCAACAGCACCTCAGATTAGAGCCCGGATAAATGCCACACAGAGTTCCAGGAGCAGACTCATCTCTACATCAACTGTTCAGAGGAGACTGCACGAATCAGGCCTTTATGGTCAAATAGCTGCTAAGAAACCACTACTAAGGAAAAGCAACAAGCAGAAGAGATTTGTTTGGGCCATTAGACCAGTGGAAATCTGTGCTTTGGTCTGATGAGTCCAAATTTGAGATCTTTGGTTCCCCGCCGTGTCTTTGCAAGAAAGGGTGCACGGATGGTCTTTATATGCATGGTCCCACTGTGAAGCGTGGACTTTCTAAAAGTACCATGGGAGGAAGAGCCTTCAGCTGTCAGGCTCCTTTCCTGTGTTCAAAGTTGGTACCATAAAATTTTTATGCAAATTGGAGATAGTCAAGCAGAAAATATTTAAAAAAAATTATTAGTTTTCTCAGTATTATATTTAACTGTCTTTGTTAGTTTTGGTACATTTAGAAGTAGACTCATGTGGTTAGAGATTTTCAGTTTCGTGCTACCCTTTTCTTCCCTTGTATCTTGTTGAATCACATTAGTTTCTATGTTATTTTGCTAGTTGTTTTCTTTTTGCGTCTTGTAGTTTTACTTTCTTTGTTTCATCATCTGTGATTAGTTTTAGCTGTTCATGTTTCTGAGGCGTTTCCACTCCCAGTGTGTGTGTGTGTGTGTGTGTCCACAGTTATCCATGGGTTTCTGTAGATGGATTATTTTAGCTTTCCATCGTCTTATTCTACTCATGACTTACTTTAGTCATTTACATTCCAAGAGGTAAACTAAAGTTCAGAGGACATATGACCTTGTAATTAATCAACAGGGCAAAGCTTGTAATAGACACACTGGTTCATTGTGTGGATGTTACACTTTGCCTCTTTTATGTGCGAAATGCACACATGCAGAAGTTGCACACCAGGAGGGGGAGATAATATATTTGAGCAAAAATGTTGCTGACCAGGAAAGGTATGAAGTACATTCCAGGCTCCTTCTTAGGTAAGATTACGCCACTGTTTTGCACATGTCTCAACTCTGTATATTTTATATATTTTATTATTATTATTTTATTTTATTTTTTTACTATTTAATTTGTAAAAATGTGTATATACACACACACACACACACACACACACACACACACACACACACACACACACACACACGTAGGAAAATATTTAGTATACACATCCAGAAATGCATACACTATTATATATTGTACATATATTTATTAGTTTCAGGTTGGCCATTCTTGTATTTTGCTCGTTTGTGTTGTTGTGTTTGCACATCTCTGTTGCTTGTGGGGCTCGCACATAAGAATTTCACTCGCATGTGCTGTGCCAGTGTGCCTGCACATGTGATGTGACAATAAAAGTGATTTGATTTGATTTGATTTAAGCTAGATGGCAAATGAATTTACATGTAAATGTATTAGTAATGTCTCTCTAAATGCTTGTTTTCATTTTGGCTTGAAATAAAACATTGCCCACTGATGGAACTCAGCTTACTCTAACTTCTGCATGCA